GAATCCCGAACAAACATGCCAACACTGTTCTATTAGGAGACCAGTCACGGTCGTCGAAGGAGTTTTTGTTGCAACATGGCTATGTTATTTCGTTCAGATGAATGAAAGACTAACAAGTGGAGAGAAATGAAAATGTTTATAAGTGCGGCTGTAGTATTTCGAAAATTTTCCAAAAGAGTTTTCGTTGGATCCTTACGATCACTTTATATCTTTGGCAATGAAAAGCTTTTAATGGTACATTTGTATTTTATATTTTTTAATTTTATATCTCAAATCATGAATTCACAAATGCACCAACTTTTTAGTACGAATTATGTAGCCGAGGCAAATGTTTCGTACTTCGTACTATGGCACCACTGCAATAATTCGCTTTTTTCACTCGTTCGTATTGAGTGACTTTAGTATCAATGGAACAAGTATGAAGCGTGACTTAAGCTCTTCGTTATTTAACCTTTCCAGACAAAATCAAATAATGTGTAGTACAAATTTATATCCACTATGTCGTCATTGACCCCTGATAATCTTAAAGAACGCTCATGTCATGTAAGGTCGGCCAGTAAGCCCATGTGACAACTAAGCATGCAGTCAAAAGATCCATTGTGATTTGAAATTCAAATAGATTCATATCACAATAGCGCAAAAGCAACTAAATTTACTGTCAAATTGTTACCAGAAGTAGTCTTCTTGGCCAGCTTTATATAGGTCTTGTAATAGTTCTCTTCGGAACGACACAACCCTATCCAATATGTACGATTTTTAAATCAAATGTGGCAGAACATTTGGTTTCGTCTCTCGATGTCAAATATTCGGATTTAGAATTCCAGCTCCAAAAGTTCAGTAATTAGTACGCATATTCCTAAGAACGACATGCGAAACTTCACGATGTTAGACCTAAAGCTGAATATCAAATTTCATAAGTCCAACTCTAAACGCGCAATGTCAAGAGTACGGACCTGTCATATTAAAAACAGTCGGACAGACCGGAAAAAATGGATGGGCTCTTTGAGAAAGTATATTGCTTCGTCCCGTTCGAATATTATATACGGCACCACTACCTGGTTTAAGATATAAGCCGGAAAGAGCCAACTTCAAGTGTTATAGTTTAGGTGGTAGCTCTATATGAGATGCACGTCCAATAACGATTTCCACAGTATTATTTCTTATATGAGAAGGACATATGTATGTATGTATGTCCGTATTGTTTATTTTTCACATGTACACGTCACTTCACAATCACACAAACATACATACATACACAATTGCCACGACGGATCCTTTCATTTTATTCGTTGCTTTCTGTGGATTTATGATACCGAAAATTACTTTCAACACTTTGTACATTCTCCGCACAGCGAACGGGCATATGAAGTCCCGACTAACCCGCTTATTCTTGAGCTATTAGTCAATTTCACTTTGCTCACAGAAGCCGCAAATGGCAAAACGCCAGTTCGTACGATGTAAAACATATTCATTTGACTTTTGCAAACTCACACACGGACATATTTAGGTACGGGTGTATGTTCAGACCAAGAGACAGACCCACACACCCATCCCTTGCGAATGGATGTGTGTGTGTGTGTGTGTGTTGGACTGATTCATGGTCATACTTTAATGAATAAATGTTCTGCGGTATATCCATCGCATCTGCTGTTCGTTGTTCATGCCGACGTGATCCAATCTAGAGAAACCCCACTTGGAGGCAGGCCACCGACAATTGCAACTGACCCTAACATACCGTTGCTCACCGAAACAGCTATTTCGTTCGCATTTAAATGTATCTATGTACGAAGTTGTGTCAGCATGAATTATAGTTTGGTGCATGGAAACGAGTTCATCTACAAAAGTGGCAGGAGAGATATTAAATTAATTCGGCTGTTTTACCAAGCAAACATGCATTTGTGCACGTTGAAGGCGACCCTTAACGAGTGTGCGTGAATGGGACGGACCGACCGACGGCAGCTATACAAAAAAACACATTCTGCTCCACCGAAAATAAAGTCATTTGCTAAAACTTGCTGCCATATTTTCTTACTTTTTACTCGAAAAGAAAAACTAAACCAAAGCATAGATGCTGCGGCACCACTTGACTACAGCAAGGGTGCTTCTGTTGGGGAGTGCGGTGCAGACGGGCCAAATTGCATGTGCAATTGTGCGACTGTGTTAAGTTATGGGACGCTGCAGCATTTCCGTACAAATGATTTTTATGAATGAGGGAAGTGTTTTTTGCGCTGTCCAAAATGGTGTGTGGCATTTGGTGTTTTGGCAGTGCAAACTTGGCACGTTCCCGAGTAGTGTCAGTCGAAAATGATGTTGTTTTTACATGCATCTGACCACAAGTGGAAGAGCTGTGATATGTTTTTGCACCATCACCAATAACTTTTGAATTTTCCGTCTATTTTCTCACTCCCTCTCTCCAGAGTTCTCTTCTTTGTTTATTATCCTGCATTAAATGCATAAGAGTGTTTGTGCTCCTCAAATGGATGTGTGATATAAATTCATTTTGAAAGCATCCATCTGTACAAATACCAGTAGGCACTCATTATTATCTACATATGTACGTATGTACAATGCACATGCACATGAGGACACACATAAGCGCGAGTATTTGGGATTTTTCGTCCCAGCCGGTGTTTGTGTGGGCGAGTGTCACATAGTGCATACAAGTGTTGTGCATATTACACTGGTGGCCAAAACTAAAGCAACTACAATCGCAAAGACAATAAATGTCCTGTAACTTTTCCAAAAATAAACAAAACGTAATTATTTTTCCACTTTTAAATGAGGTCTTTAATTCACTTTTAAGAAATTGAAAATTAAAATACAAAAATAATTCTGAACGAAAAATAATGTATGGAAAACTAAAATGACCTAATTTTTGCTTGGTCAAAACTAAAGCAACTTTTTGAATTTTTAATTTAAAATAATTACATTTTGGCTAGTAGTCGATAGCATCCATTACTTTTGATAGCAGCTGCACACCTACGAGTCATTGAATCTATAACACGCTCAATTTGATCCTTGGGTATGCTTTCCCAGGCACCCCGAATTCTTTGGAGAATGTTGCGCTTATTTCTTTCCGAATCTCCTGTCTACGATACTCCAAAGGTTTTCTATGGAGTTTAGGTCAGGTGATTGTGCCGGCCATAACAAAACATCGATTAACCGCAACCAATATTTGAAAAGTTTTGATGCAAGTTTGGGATCATTGTCATGCTGAAACACCCAAATGAGCCGAATATTTTACTCATCGTAAGGGAACAACGTGATGTCCAACACAAACCGATCCATAACTTCCTTCATTTCATGGATAGGCCCAAGTCCATAGAAAGAAAAACAGCGCCACGACATTTTTGACCCTCCCTCATGCTTCACTGTACTTCTGCAACACTGCGGCTTGAGTCTTTTATTTTTTTGTCTTCTCACCGTAAAATTTTTCACGTCTGAGCTTTTAATATTAAACGTAGACTCATCCAGGAAATAATGTTTTTCCATTGAGCTGGATTCCACTTAATATTATCGTTTCCGAAAGCCTTTCTGATTTTTTCAGATATAAATGGCTTTTTTGATGGCTTACGGGCATGCAGACCAGCTACCACTACTAGTCTACGCACTGATCTCGAGCTTATATCCAATGATTGTTCTCTACTGATCCAGTTTCATAAAACCGACTTAGTATACAGAAATATTTATGAAATCACAAAAATATTTATGAAATATTTCTCGGAAATCATTTTCTGTGATATGTTGTTTTCATAGTCACTGATAATTTGATGTTTTATTCAGGTACTACTTTAAACTTTTTGGGCAGTACTTAAAAAACGAAAAGAGAAACACATGCTGTTGTAAAAAACTTCTCAAAAAGGATTTATGACAAGCGAAATTGTCGAAGGAAGCAAAAAGTGATACATATAACAGTAAAAACAACTGAAATTGCAGCGGTCATATGAATGTACAACAGAGTTGCTTTTGTTTTGTCCAAGCCAAAGTCTGGTTAATTGACTTTACCATACATTATTTCTTATATAAAAATGAATTTTGGTTTTTTGTTTTAGGTTTTTAAAAAGTGAATAAAGTACCTAATTTAAAACAAGAAAAACTTTCTCATTTTCTTAATTTTTAAAAAAGTTACAGGGCATTCATTCTCCTTGTAATTTCAGTTGCTTTAGTTTTGGCCACCAGTGTATGTGCAACAAATGTCAAATGCACAAAGACAGCTGAGCAATCCGATAAAAATCCCATTAAACCCGACCGAATCGATAGCTTTTGAGACAATTAAAACATATTCCCGCAAATGACCTATGGTCAGCCATCTTAACTTGCATCTAAACCAGGAATAAGGAGAACAATAAAATGTAGTCCTTTGATGGAAAAAAGAACAGTTGTAGCGTGCAGTTTTATGATGACACAACCACTGACCAATCCCAAGCGCTGAATACATTTTCTGGCGATTTACCTAGAAAACGGTGCAGGTGCACGATGGCCACTGGACGGGTCGATAAAATTTCAAAATGAATTGCTAAATTCAATTTTAGCTAAACTCAAAAGGTGTTATAAATGTTTCAAACACCCCGAACGGGTAGATTGGACATTTTCCAATAATCGCAACAACAAGGATATGAAATTTATGCCAACTAGCATCACGTTCATTTCACTTCTGTCAATAAAAATAAAATATTACCGATGGGTACACATAATTTGAGAATCCTAAGCCAATCGGAGTTATTTCCCCGACAATGTTGTTAAAAATAAATCTAGGAAAGATAGCATTTTGCAATTGAAATGAAACTTTTTGCAGCGGAAATTAAAACCTTTTGCAGTGGAAATTTTACATTTGAAGTGTAAACTTTTGCAACCGAAATTAAACTTTTTGCAAATCAAATAAAACTTTTAGACTTATAGAAAAAAAAACAAAACAAACAGGTTCAAAATTAAATCAGCTAATTATAACTAATATATAGTTAAAGAGGAATTTTTACTGATTGTTCAAATCCTTATTTTTATATTATTTCTTAAATTGTTCTTTATTGATTTGATATAAAATATTTCGATATTAAATATTCTTAAAGCTTAATGCTAAACACTAACGTTACTAAAAGTTTTACAGTTATAACATATTATTAATTTCACCTAAAGGATTCCCGATTCGCAACTTGTTTGATTTTTAACAGCAGATCCATTATGGAGATAGAGCAGTCTTGTTATGTGGGCTATTGAATGGTTCGCATTATAATGTACACAGTGCAATGCCTTGTTGAAACATCCCTGTATCATTTTCAATACCAAACATTCTAGACATATTGTGCCAAATTTCAAATCTCTACATGAGATTATATATCAATATATATATATATATGAGTCAATTTAGATCATGGTTCTATATACTTTATGGGTCTACGACGAATATTTAGAGGTGTTATAAATCGAATGACAAATTTACTATACCCACATTTCCATGGAGGAGATTATAAAAAGATATGTAATTCGTGTCTTTTTGAGAAAAGGCCCTGAAGAAACCTTTTGTAATTCTTCTGAATCTACACTTGCGTTTTATGGCATCTTGTGATAGACTGAAAATTTAAGAAATAATATTATAAAAATATAGATGTTAATAATTCATAAAAATTAGTTATTATTAGTTGATTAAATTTTGAACCTACTAAAAATAAAAATGTTTTGTTACGTTCCTTTCTATAAATATAAAGATTTTTTTTTTTTGATTTACAAAAAGTTTCACTTCTGCTGCAAAAGGTTTCATTTCTGCTGCAAAAGGTTTTTTTCCGATTCATAAAGTTTCATTACAATTGCTAAATGTTTTTTTCTTTTAATCTGAAAATGCTACATACGATTCTTGATGACAGTTTTTAAAACAACATTGATGATTGATGGTGTTACTGCGACGCCTTTGCATGCCGCATTGTTACTTATTAAATCAAATATAACCTTAAGCACTTCTAGCAAGATTTTCTTGACTTACGTCTGGCATTTGTTCTCTTGAAAGAGACGTGGTTTCAACATAATTCTGCATACCTTTCAGTTTATATACATAAAGATCCTGATACTTTTATTTGTAGTTCAGAACACAGATCATCATCGTTCGATGTTTGCATTTGGACAGAGTCCGAATAAAATCCTATAGGTTTTGGAAACGTTTACAGACTGCAGGGAGTGTTTGACCTACAAGAAAATCATGAAGTAGGGTTTAAGGACACAGAAGGAGTCCTTAATTATTGGATGGTGATCGCATGATATTTGGCGGGTGAAACAGTCCATAGCCGCTTGGCTTTTACAATGTGAGAATAGGTAAAATACCTTTATCATCGATTAAAGTTATCGGACAAAGGCTCGTAGGTTGAACAAATTGAACCAAGTCAACCTAAAACTCCTTTGTTCTTTTTGTGAAGAAGCCAGTCTATGACTTAAGCCCTTAAAAATGCTCTCCATGTACTTGCACCTTAAGAAATTTGTGACGGACTTGCGGTTGCAAGATAACCATTCCCAATACCATCCGATGATACTTTGTGGAATTAATGGATCAAAACGTACGTACGTATGAAATAGGTATGAGATCGGTATAAAAACCAATTATGTAAATACGAATGTTTAGAGAATGAATGCTCCTGGATAATGCTGTTTGCAGATGTATTAGACGTATTATCCCCTGGAAGTTTTACATTTGCAATCTACCTATATATATTAAGTGTATCCTTCATGATTGCATCAAACACATTTTAGATTTAGAAAAACCAACATCTCGTATATGTATAATGGCTTGGGGAACCATAAACTAAACTAAATTACGTTTTCGAGAGATTACTACCAAATAATTGCGCAAATACTTCATCAACATCTTCAGACTGACGTGAACTTTTGGGTAAACCTAGCAAGTAATTACTTAGGTTGGGAGAGATAGTCAACCGCATCTCGTGTACTAGTTTTCAAACCGAATTCTTCATTATTTTTGCAAATATAACGATTTTTGATAAACCGAAAAAAGTTGGCTTGTTCAATTTTTCTTTCCATAAAAACCTAAGTTGGCGTGTAACGAACGTTTGTTAAAAAAAAAATATCCAATTGGGTCCGGCGGTTCTAAGCTGACACAACGAACGACATTTGATTTATATATATGGATATATAGATTCGGTGTCCAAAAACCCTCGTAAATATAAAGCAACCTCTCCACGTTGTGGGGTCAATATGCCAGAATGACATGCCTCTGGATAAGAATAGAAATTTCGAAACAAGTAGCAGTAATACTTTACGCTTTGTTTACAATGTTGCCCTTTATCGTTGGCCATGTTCTACTTCTTTAACAAATTCCCAGAGACCTGCCCAAGCGTTGTCTCTGCTCCAGCAACATACCCGACAACAACACTTACAGTACGAAGCTATTGTCAGGAGGTATCAAGAATGGAAGCACCAAAGTCATGAAGTAACAAGAACGGGGGAGAGACGAAGAACTAGGAGTACCCACATATACAGGAGTACATACATACATACATACATGAGTTAATTTGAATTTAGGAAATTTTCGGCAGTGCACTGAGACTTTAACAGCTACAGCGTTAGAGGTTTATTGGTATGCCTGGCATGTGAAAAGGCAGGTGGGTGGTAATGTCGTTTGGAGCGAGCGTGTGAGTGGGAGGTGGCACGGAGACTGGATGTGCGCTTGAACATGACTAAAATTTGTCTCTTCAGCTGAACTTTAGACCTTAGACAGTTGACAGAAAATATTCGAAGCTATTTCAAAGCGCAAGAAACAGTCAAAGGATGGAATCTGCCAAGTCAAGATGAACATGGAAACACCGAACACAAAAGGGTGTCATTTGGCTCAAAGAGAATGGCTATCTACAGCACAACTAGAAAAGGCAAAACGTACACGTAGTACTCGTGTTGGCAACACACACACACACACACAATGACATTCTTCTGGAAAGACATGTACGAGCACCAACAAACACACACACACACACACAGCCAAACACGCTCGGTAAATGAATGACACTTGAATAACTGGTGTAACATTATGTCATTAAGTTAATTTGATATGTCAGTATTCGGCATTCATGAGTTGACTTCGAAAGGTGCGACAGGGTCTGCAGCTCTCAGTGCTAGTTGAAAACATTTTCAGTTTGTATCCACAATTTGGGCACAAACCCTTTTATGTATTTGTTCAGGAGCGGACACAACCACACAAACTCACGAATAAACCTGCCATTAATTGCCATGGCGTATGGGTGTCAAAGGGACGGGGTTTCTCCTGGTACTCAACAAGTAGTTTCAAGAGGTGTAAATTGTTTGCACAAGCAAAGGCTAGCTAGCATGAAATTAAAACCAGCACACCCACACTAACCGCTACATGCACAGCCACACTCATGCTGTGCAGTCTGCAGACTATCCCAAGAGTACAGACCATGCAGTTCATGGTGTCGGGCACGATTTGCATGTTTTATTAAAACGTACTATGAGCAGCTAACTATTTACATATGTCCGTACGTTTTCTAGTGCTCCTCTGCACTTTTACGTGCTTCAGTATGTGTGTTCGGTTTCGATTTCCAGAGTAGGTACACGTCTATACCAACCGAAGTAAGAGGCACCAGAGATTATTCGACGACTAGCCCCATGGCACAAAATGATCACAAATCGTTAGTTGTCTGAGATTAATAGCTACTAGAATTGGTCCAACTTTCCCGACATTTGTGCATCTTCCGTAGCGCAACTCGGTACCGTATCTGTCCCAGCAACTTTCCTCAATCAACTGTCATGGCCGTGGAAGTGACAACCAGTCATAGAAGTCGGATGAAAATTAGATTGATACTTTCTGCTCAATTTATATCCCCATCAGCAGCACTATGCCAATGCAGCATGTATGTACAAGTGATAAGTCGGGACTACTCCCCGCGGACTTGTCGTCGATGTGCTCAGTCCCAGCTTTTGATGCAGTGGAGAACGAATAAAGTTTATTCAATAAATCATGCGATTCGTAATGTCGAGTGTAATTTATTTCTTCCACTCAAATGCGGATTAAGTGAACTAACATTTATGGGCTGGGGCTGCCAAAACACGCAACCCTCTCGCACAACAAAAAGTCGATGCATATTTGTAATATTTTACATCGGCATTGTCATAATTATTAATCAATTGCAATAACGCAAATGCAATTATGTGTCGGCCAAAGCGAATAGTTTAACGCATGAAATGTGGAAAAAAACACTCACTCTTACACGCACACACACACACACACACACAACGCGCAGTCAATGGTCTGTATTTTAATTTTAAAATGCAATCCATTTCAGGTCATAAATATTACATTTTGATTCTTTGATGGAATGGATTTATGCTAGTCACATCATTCGATCATGGCGAAATGAAATGTATCGCAATTGATTTTATGTTTAAATCGGATTCAAACTAAAATATTGTATGCAAAAGTACAAAATAATGCGAGCCATTTGAAATACATATTCTTTGACGGGAGGGAGTGGGGCTGAGCTACAACATAGCCGTCAACATCTTGTTAATACACACTGATTCGGGGTTTAACGAACTTCTAAACATTTTATGCTAACTATCTTCTATTGCGAACATTATAAAAACATTTGTATTCGATATTACGACCAAAAAACGAAATTTGGGTTGTTTACCGAACAAGAGATTGAGCGAGGTGATTTTAATGACTACTCAGCGACGGAATGGGAAAAAAACAATAAAAAAAAAGCAGCTAAGATCAGCCGGACAGAATTTTTAATACCCTCCGCCATTAGGAAGGATCTTTTCCCCCTCATAACACTATGTGTTGGGTGTTTTATATTCAGGTCGCCATTATCGTCCGATCACCCGGGCTAGGATCAGAATAGAAGCCTATTGTTTCGGAAGAATTTCGCCCATTAATATGCTGGCTCAATACTGTTGGTCACTTTGCCGTGAGACAAGAACCGATATGTACAAACGTCAAAACGTTCAAATTAATTTAACTGTTAAATTTTACCTTTTAATTTACAACTATAAAAACTGAATTTTTAATGTTTAATGCTCCAAAAATTGAACTGCTCGTAAAAAGCTCAAATGAATTGATCTAGAAAAACTGGGAGATACGTATATTTTATTTTGAGCTATATTTTCGGAATTTTGTCAGTTTGATCATGGGTGAAAAATCGTGTCGTACAGTGTAACCGCACTGCCTGATACAAACAAGTACGCAACGAATGTATTTATATTTAGAGGGAAAATTGTGATAATTCTTATGTTTACATTTGTGCACCAATTTAATGAAGCAGTTTCATGAAATGATACGGGGTTCGCTCTAGGTCAAACAAATGAAGCATGAACAAGTAAAAAAACATAAGGTTCGGCCGGGCCAAACTTTTAATACCCTCCAGCTTAGGGTAAAAAAAACATTAGAAGAAATGTGACAAAAACCATTAAAATGCCGAATATCGGGAGGTACCGTTATATGGGGGATATACCAAATCATGGACCCATGCAATGATTCGCCACCGGAGCTGGAAACCATTATGACCTACAAATACCAATTTTCAGACAAATCCGTGAAAAAAATGTGGCATAAATCATCAAATTAACGATTATCGGGAGGTACCGTTATATGGGGGCTATACCAAAAGGTGAACCTATAATTACAATGACTCGCCACACGAACTGGAACCCATTATGATCTACAAATACCAAATTTTGAGTGAAATTCGTGAAAAAATGTGTCAAAAATCATCAAAATACCGAATATTGGGAGGTACCGTTATATGGGGACTAAACCAAAACGTGGACCTATACATACAATGTTTCGCCACACGAACTAGGACCCATTATGACTCACAAATACCAATTTTTAGACAAATCAGTGAAAAAATGTGGCAAAAACCATCAAAATACCGAATATCGGGAGGTACCGTTATATGGGGGCTATACCAAATCATGGACCCATACATGCAATGATTCGCCACCAGAGCTGGAAACCATTATGACCCACATATACCAATTTTTAGACAAATCCGTGAAAAAATGTGGCAAAAAAATTAAAATACCGAATATCGGCATGTACCTTTATATGGGGGCTATACCACAACGTGGACCTATACATGCAATGTTTTGCCACACACACAGGGACCCGTTATGACCTACAAATACCAATTTTCAGACAAGTCCGTGAAAAAATGTGGCATAAATCATCAAGGAGATACGAAGATCTCGACCTGCAAAAGTATTTTTTTTTTTTTTGTCATATGCTGTATTATGAATTTCGAATTTCAAATACGAAATTTGAAGCAATTCCATTGAAAAATGTGTCTATACGAAGACATGGATCCATATCAACAATGTTCCGACACATGAGCTAGAACCCATTACGAACTACAAATACCAATTTTTGGACAAATCTGTGGAAAAATAATCAAATGAAGAATATCCTTATATTAATGAACAATTTCGTTAATTTTACTTCAATGAAACTCAATTAAACTTTTTTCATTCATTCAAATAACCTCTACGTTGGTTCAAAATCAATGACAAATTTCATTGACGGACCGTAAGAATTCATTTATGATATGAAGCTATTTCTTTCAGTGTAGGATACCAAATTGTCGAGCTTAAGTTGACTGTCGGGTATCATTAACCTGATTACACAAAGTAATTTCTTCGTGGGGGAAACACCCGGTTATTCGACCCCAAAGTTCGGAAACATAAGCCGAGTTTTATCCGGTTCTACAAAACCGCTATGTACAAAATGGCTATCGTTTGTTGTTTTAACCGGTTCCGGACTTATTGGGTATCATAATCTCTATAATACATTATAGTCTACACTCTTGCCTTTCCAAATCGATGCCATATGTATTGATATCTTTTGTGGTTGGCTATTTGAAAATGCTATAAAGATTAGAGAAAAATAGTATAGATATTTTCTGCTCACCGTACTTCTGAGTAAATTCGTTCCTTTAGAACGATTTTAAATCTTCGCTTTACCTTTAGAATAGTACAAAAACAGAGAAAAAACATACTTCACAAAATGGAAACGAAATCAGATTTTGGAAATACTATTCCGTTACCGTACACTTGAATTCGTAAAAGTACAATTCAAACACATAAATGACAAAAAATCAACATGCAAAGCCATAAAAATACATTCAACAGCAATAAAAGCGAAAATAATTCACAAACAAAAAGGAAAGGAGAGCTAAATGACATTAATTTTCATGAATTACGACGCAAACGTATTTTAAACCCTGTTCATTCCCCGCTCGAAGTGTTGGGGGTTTGAAGGGCAGACGTATGGTTGTACGTTGGGAGGGGGCGAACTTTCGAGCATACGTATGGATGATCAGACGGACGGACTTGTTTGGATGGATGGAGACGAGCGCACAGCCCAGTAGGTTCCCATTGAAGTACTCACCGATGCGATAGAAACGAAGCAGTTTTACGAAAGTTATATAAACAATTCTCACAATAGCTGAACAAATGCAAACGAACGTACCCACACACACTAACGTTTTCGCCGGCTTCGGGCTCATCACACATACAAATGCGCACACACACACACCCAGACTCGAGCAAACACAAACGCAAATAACAATTGCCAAGTGAAAATGAATATTTACTGTACATTGTAAATAACACCAAGGCTCCTTTCTCTGATTCGGTTGGTCGGTCGGTCGGTCGGTCTGTCGGTCGGCTGTTGGCTTGTTCATTCGCTCGTTTTGCTACATATACCTAACAGCCCCTCACGTCCTGTACCATCAGCTCCGACTTTCCGCCATACAGTTGTACGCACAACACATTCACCACAGTTTGAATTATGAGGCCCCCCTCGTGCATTAATCTGTCACCGCATTATGAGGCTAGGGCCCAGACCGCTGGGCAAACAAGGGAAAAAAGAAAATGCCCTGCAGAAGGGCAAGTGGGTCCGGGCAAACAAATAAACGCAAAGTTAATAAAGATTATTTGTGTTCGCCACGCTGGCAGATCATGCATGCAATGTCATACAAAATATATTAAAGCAATTGCATAAATTAAGCCGCAACCCAACGACAAACCAACGGTTCCTCACCCGGCATCACGCGTTAAAACAGCAACAAGAATGCAATAATCGCAATAATGATTACAGTAAACACACACACAGAGATACAGCACATCCGCATGTATGGGTATGCATGTGTGATTGCATGGCCGTCCGTCCGTCCGTCTATCTGTAACGTATTCTCCAGCACAAAACCAACAAGGCAAATAATAATTAACGACATAATAATGTGCAAATAAACTGCCACAAAAGTGACAGACGAAGCATTGCCTCCGCCCGCTCACGTGTACACTGCTTTGTGGTAAGTGCACCACACAACTACGAATGGCACCAACAAAGAGCCCTGAGCAAACATGACCACTGCCGATGAAAATGCCAACCGAGTCCATCGCACACACGGAGTACTCCCTCACTGTTGCACACTTTCGTTGGATGTGGTCCTTTTTCAATATTCGACAATATTTTCTACGTCAGCCAAGTGCAGAAAAACTCGCAAAATAACATTGAATGGAGTCAAATTATGGGGTTATCATCATTTTTGGTAACTTTCTACTTAGGGTACCAAAGTTAATAATATTTCAGTATGCACTAGGGCAATATCGGTCCACTCCTTCTTGTAACTCCCACACAAACGATTAAAAAAAATTTAAAATATCTCTCTTTCCGTGACGCGAAGGGAGTTTCCGATTTCGTCGAAACTTCATACGTCGTTAATTTTGCGCAAGGTCATCTGAAAAACAGGAATGCTATCGGAA